TCCCTCTGATTGCTGTATTCTCCATATCCTCCAGCTGCTTCCTCTCCCATTCCCTTTTCTTTCTTCAGTGAAGCCTCTTCTCCTGTCTGAATACTCTTCAGATGCTCTCCTTGTATGGTGCCTTTGGACCATGTTTTTATAAGCTTTGTTTTTTGCTTCAGTGGCCGTCACACACTCTCCCTCAAACCAATGATATCTCACTTTTTGTTCTTCATTTCCAAGGGTTTCCTGGGCCACTCTAGTAACCAATCATTGTTCCTAAACAGAGGCCTCTGCTATGCTGACGCTCATGATTGTTTCATCTAGCTTCCGGCAGTACTGTTCACTAACCTCTGGTTTCTTGAGTTTGGCTGTGTCTACTCTCACCTTTTTCATTCCCAAGGTCTTCCTTGCTATCCTGCTATTCTGCAAACCAACAGATAATGGTCGGTATCCATATTAGTTCCCCGTTAGGATATGCAGCTAATCATGTCAGATCTATGTCTTCTATTGATCAAAATGTGGTAAATTTTATTCTCAGTCCTACAATCTGGGAATCGTCATGTTTCTTTATGAATCTTTTTTCTTGGGAATAGTCTGCTGCCCACTATTAAGTCCTTGGAAGCAGCAAAGTTTCTGAGAATGCCATTTTTGTTTGCCTCACTGTGGAGGCTATACTTTCCTATCGTTGGTCTAAAAATGTTCTCTTTGCCGATTTTTTCATTAAAATCCCCCATGATGATCTTAATATCACTTCTCAGGCAACTGTCTAGAGTCTTGTCCAATTGGTCATAGAATGCTTCTTTTTCGTTGTCAGAAGAAACTTAAGATAGAGTAGTTGCGGAATTTATTCCTCAATCTGATGATACAGATTCGTTGGCTGACAGGAGTAAAGCCAACATCCAGATCTCTGGTTCTTCCTCTGACCACGAATCCAGTACCAGAAATATGCATCCTATCATGGCAGCTGTAATAGATGGTATGGAACCGCTTCTCCAGGATTTTGGTTCCTTTCCACCCCACTTCCTGTAGAGCGATCTATTTTATATATATCTAACTGTTGTAGGATTTGCCGAAGTGACCCCAGTCTCCCATGTAATGATAAAATGTTCCATTGGGCAAATGCAAGTCCATATGACGAATCCTAGGTCTTTTCCTTAATGGTAGTCCACTTATTTCTTGTTGAGATCTCGATATGATGGTTTTTTTTTAGAGAGTGGGGTTGCAAGCCCCACTCCCAACCCTCCTCCTTCATCCAGGCTTGGTACTGTCAGGGGTCCTAGCTATGATACTTTCACTGGTAGTGTTAAATTGGCATTATTTAAATTTAATATTTTATGAATATGGAAACTTGGATCAATTCTTGACAGTAAACTATATAAATTCCTATTCTGAAGAAAAATAAGAGAATATGCAAAGTCCTACTTCACTATACTTGGTACCTGACAAAACCAGGCTTGCCATTTATAGAATTTATAGATTAAATTATAGATGACCGGGAGGAGTGGTATGCTTCTATACCATCAAAAAGAGGATTAGATTTCCATTACTTCATCATCAATCAGAGTACTTTCAAAGAAAACAAAAATCCTTTATAATGTTCAATCATAATGAACAGTAATTATATTGTTTAATAGATCTCATACTCTTCATGAAACTTTTAAGCCTTCAGCCCTCATATTTACAAATTTATTTTAATCAGTTCAAATAAATTAACATTTGTAAGATATATCATATTTCTCCAAAATGTTTTTCTTATTTTCAATTTTAAAAAAATAAACCATTAGGGAATAAAGAGGAGGAATATAGCTGTTGGAGCTACATTCACAAAGAATAAACATTTATGGTGCACTTGCTTGACTCACATACAGTAGTTAGTCTACGGGGTTATGTATGTATGTTGAGTTATCCTCCCTGCGTCTGGCAGAAACTTTTCTAAAACCGTGATTTTTGATCTCAATAATGTATTGGGTTGGCAAACAAGTCCTATCGGTTTTTCAGGGTAACGTAAAACAATGTATTATAGACATAAAATTAATTTTAATCTACTATGTATTGACCATTATTATTAAATATTAATGACTTTTTCCCATCTTTCCACTAACTGCATAATGCCATGTTCATAGAATGTCCCGGAGTTTATATTTAAAAAGCTGATCCAAGTGATTTTTGGTGTTTTCTTTCTTTTGGAATTTCTTTCCATTCATGGAGTTCTGTAGATACCAGAATAAGTGGTAGTTACTAAGCTAGTTTCAACAAGAATTAGCATATATATTGTTGACATATTACAAACAGGATAAACAATTCACCTTACGGATTAATTCATCAGATAAGAAGTGTATCATAGTGACATAAAAACACACAGAAAAACCGATAGGACTTATTTGCCAACCCAATAATTAATTTCTGTTTAAACAATACTAGATGGTATCCGACAGAAACTTTTCTAAGATTGCCATTTTTGAACTAAAAATTATTCTTACCCATATTAATTTGCATTTAGTAATGATAACAAAATGTATATATTTTTATGTCCAGAAACATTTTATTGTTGAAACTTCTTTTTAAACAAAATAATAAAAAAACATAAAATTTATAAATATTTTAAATAAATCGGCTAAGAAAGAATTATTAATGGGTGAGCAAAACTTCTTGATTAAAAGGACAAAATTTTAGCATTTTTACTATAAAGGTAACTTTAGTTTAAAAGAATCTTATTTTAATTATAATGAAATAATCTTTTTAAAAATTATTATTTTTTCAATATTTGAAAAAAAAATTTACATTAGAAAAAATAATTTTTGTTTCAATACAAACAAAACTACTTTGAAATCTAATCAATCAGAAATGCATCTTTTAAAATTTGAATAAAATTTCACACAGGATTCATGACATAAAAATACATACATTTTGCTGAAAATATATTTTAAAGAAGAAACGCCTTAAAATATATCTTCTTCATCTAGAAATAATCTTCCTTCTCTATCTTCCTCTTATACAACGTCTACTATTTTGTTCTCCTATATAATTTCCTCCAGTGGTGTTGGAACAGAAACACCCTTAAATTCCCTTCCTTAATTTCTCAACCTTGGTGTTGTGAATCCTTGGCTGGAAGATTGAGACATTTAAGGTTGGTTCACCTACCAGCTACTCTAAATTGATCCGATTAAGTTATTTTTTAGAACCCGTAGGCAATGTGGCAAGGATGCTGCATTAACACCTGTTTTATTTAATGCATTTGATTTTTTTGTATATACATTCATAAACACATTTAGCCTTAACGTGGCAAAGGTAGTGTTAATAAAAATGACTATGTTTCTGTTTGATCCAATTACTTTTCTGGTATTTCTTTCTTCTGATAGTCCCTTGTCTCATCAGTGCTATCTCCACTTATTACACAAGCGATCCTCGAGTGTACAAAGCTCTCATAACAGGTAACATTTATTACTTGACAAAGACAATGAGGACAATATATATTATAATGTTTCTTCTTTAAAATATATTTTCAGAAAAATGTATACATTTTTGCATCATGAATCTAAGTGAAATATAATTTAAATTTCAAGATGAACTTCTGATTGATGAAGTTTCAAAGTTATTTTGTTTGTATTAAAACAAAAAATATTTTTTTCTTTATAAATAATTTTTTTCAATTATTGCAATTCTTTTTTTTTTTTAATTCTTGTTAGTTTGTTTCTAAGTTATATAAATTGAAAACAATATTTTTTATTTCATTATGATTAAAATCAAGTTCTTTTAAAGTAAAGTCATATTTATTATAAAAATACTAAAATTTTTATGATATTTTTTGCACTTTTTTTATTGAAAATGTTTGCACATTTATTTAAGAAGTTTTGCTCATACATTAATAATATTTTTTGTAGCTGAATCTTTTAAAACATTATATAAATATAATATAATATAAAATAGGTATACATTTTATGTTTTGTTTGTTTATTCATTTTTATCATTTTGTAAATAAAAAATTGTCGCAATAAAATATTCCTAGATATAATGAGGTACATTTTTGTTATCATTATAAAACGCAAATTCATACGGTTAAGAATAATTTTGAGCTCCAAAATCGTGGTTTTAGAAAAGTTTCTGCCTGATACAGGTTTCATGCATAAGCTGTTATTTGATTCATAAAGTGGTCTAGTATTCTTTAAAACAGAAATTAATCGTCATCACTCAATTATATTTTTGGGTCTCAAAATGGTGGTTTTAGAAAAGTTTCTGCTAGGTGCAGGCATCAGAAATAAGCCAGCAGACTAACGTCATTTAATTCAGGAAGTGGTCTTGTGGCCAACACAGGTTAATTGTTTTAATTTTTTTTTCTATAACATTATATATATATATATATATATATATATATATATATATATATATATATTATATATATATATATATATATATATATATATATATAGAAATAGAAAATCATCTTTATTTTGGGACTAGGTCCCTTAAGAATAACAATATTGTTTAATCCAATTGCCAATAAATCTGGCCAGATGACCTATTATAATAAAGAGTAACTACAATCTAAGTAATAAAATGAGTATATACATAGTTTTGGAGGGTATATTAAGGAAAGCAGATGGGTACAAGGGTTACAATATTATGATATTGGTAAAAAAAACAGGAACATACTACTAATAACTAAATAAAATTGGAAAGAAATGCTAAATAAGTTTTATAGGTAACCAATTTTAGTGCTACAATATAATAAAAAATAAAAAAATAGAAATAAGAATAAAAGAAAATAACTAGAGTAAATAAATGATTTATATATGTTCCTTAAGATGTTTAAGTGAAAACATATGAAGAAATTGTGAAAAAGTAGACAAGTATTGTAATCTACCTATGACACAATAGATTACGAGCAGAAAAAAAAAAAAAAAAAAATATATATATATATATATATATATATATATATATATATAAATATATATATATATATATATATATATATATATATATATATATAATATAGTTTTTTATTTATTTTTTCTGTTGCATAACAGACATTGTAGATCTTTTGCTACCGTAATAAGCCTGCTCCTCTACTACCTGTTTTGCGCTATTTCTTTCCAGTTTTCTGCACGCAGCTCTGTAACCTCTTTGTTGATGTTATCTATCTATCTGCTTTTTGGCCTTCCACATGGTCTTTTGCCTTCTATTGAGGCATTCATTGTTACGTAGAGTGATTTTAAAATTCGTTGATGGCTGCTGTTGGGATTTGACAGGGCGCGAGTTGAGTTGGTTGTTCAAGCTTAGGTGTGAACTCCTTTATTTGAATTACATCCCATGGCTTGACAGGGAATATACGGATTATCCACTCTGTAACCTACCAGTAAAGGAGGACCAGTTCCATTTTTTGGCTGAATGTTGGTATCGAATTTCTCGGAAATAGCCCGGTTCGAAACGATTTCCTATTTTCCCTTCTATATGCTCCCTCTGTGAACAAATGTTGTAAAATTGTCGGTTTTGCTCAACGGATGGAAAAACCTATTTAATTTGCTACGTCCAGCACAAACAGTGATGCATCTAATTTATTTGAGGTCAGTTTTATTCATGTTATGATTTCCATTATTTTCCTTTATTATTATTTCTTAGACATAAATTATTCAAAATATTTATTATTTCATATTGTGTTAGTTGTTTTATTATTTATCAGTCATTCATGTATATGTAATTGTTGTAAAGTCTATATTTGTACTGTACCTGTAAAACATATAAAATTTCCAGCAGATGAGTAATCATGCCGTATAAATGTTCTTTGTATTTTGGATATTTATAATTTATACATATTTAATAAAGCATTTCTCATTCATTCATTGTTATGTAGAGACTTCCAGATAGATTACTACAAGCTATATGCCCCATCCATCTTAACCTCCATGCCTTCATATTAAGGGATATTGATTGACCAGTTTCTTTAAGTAATTCTTTATTGGTCTTTCTTCTCCATGTGTTAGTACTCTGATCCTAGATTGCTCCAGTTATTGTGCTTCCGAGGCTTTATTTAGGTTTCGTAATAAGGTATTTTTGTAATTGTATTTAAAATTTGTAATTTGTATTTGTATTACATTTGTAAATTTTATTTAAATTTTTTTAAAATGTTTTTAAGATTTATTTTTGTTATTATTAATATTTACGGGTAATATCTTTAGTTTATTTGATTTTGTTTGTAACGTGTATTGGTTTATTTATTTAATTTCAATATATTATTGACTGCTATGTAATATTTTATTCACGACCTTTATAAATTTTGTTCTATTTTAATATATTTAAAAAAAATTAATTAATCAGCAGCACCAGGGCCTATTGATAGGTAATTTATTTGCTGATTTATTTCTTTTGAACACCCGCTGCCACCACAAGTCTAATATTGCTTAAAACAGAAATTAACCGTTTTTTTTTTTAATTTCATAATTTAATTAGTTACTTTATTTTTATTTCTTAGATATTTATATTGTTGGTCAGCAAGAAAGGGCCAAATACCTCAAGATGATAAAAATCAAATAACTAATCGTTCTTTTCCTGCATAAAATTAATTTTATGAAATTATAAATTCATATTTGTCTTATTTTATTTTTTTATTTTTTTTTTTACAGAACTTTTTACCCACATTGTATCAAAAAATGAACTTAAATAATGAAACTTTGTGGTTAAATTTCATGGAAAACAAAAACCCTCACCCACCTAAAGAATGCAATTTATCATCATTTCAGTTAGTTCTAGTTACTCAAGCACTACGTCCTGATAAATTATATACTACACTTGTGCAATTTGTTCTTCAGACATTAGGTAAGTTTTAAATTGTATTATCTATTATTTAAGAGCTATCATTTTGTTGCTGTAGTATGTTAAATTTTTATTAATATAAAAGACTCTGGGAAATTAGCTACTTAACTAACTTGATAGGTGAGTGGTGACTCTAGATAGCATTGGTGGCTATGTTTGGAGTTCCGGGCAACCATGCATTGTAAAGAAGATATATCTGCCTTTATTATGTTCAATTACTCTATTATTAATTATTGGTGTTTATCATTTTATATTAAGTTATTATTGAAACCCACTTTCCCAAGATACTGCAGACGGCTACAAGGATCATAAAAAGCATTTGATCTAAATGTGAATTAATAAAAGTTAAAGGATCTCTGCTGAAGCTAGCTGAACTGTATGGAACAAACTAAGGAATCTTGTTTCCAATGTAGCAGAAAATCATATATAAAATAGATATCAAGTCTAATTCAAGTTAAGAAGGCTGTGGGAATACAAGAGTGGAAAACCACAGGAAAATAAGAAGTACTCATGGCTTGAGAAAGAGCTCACTGGAGGAAATCCATGTCACTCCGGCTCCCGTTTTTTGTGAATTCCAGTATTGCAAAAACTTTAAATTATAGGGTGTCACATGCATTTTTCATCATGCTTTATATTTTTAAAAGAGAAAAAGTGTTCTATTGCTAACCGAAATATTTTTATTTGTTGTCATTTTTAATATCTAACTCCGTTAAAGAGAAATATTGATTAGTTTTTCCAGGATTTTTATACAATTTTACATTTGGTTTACGAGCATTTTTAAACTTTAAATTGAATTTCTTTTTGTTGGAACATCGTTATAATTAAATATTTTAGCATATTAAATGATGTATTTGGCATGATGTTTTTACTGCATAAAAATCCTGGCTCTGGTTATAATTTAATTGTCACTAAACTTTGTTTAGTCACATTTTTATGTATAGATTTGATTACACAGAAGATGTCCTATATTACATGTACTTATTACACCAAGCCAGAACTTCCCGATTATTATTAGGTTTTGAAAATTATCTGTATTGTTTCCCCAAAATTTAGTGCCGTCAGACTGCCATCCAGCAGTTTTCGACAACTTGGTTGCACTAAACAACCTATGTTCCTATGTTTACTTAAAAAAAGATAGATTATTTTGAAGAGGCTAGAGCCATAGACAGGTAGAGTTTTTTTTATTATGATATCACATTCAATGGTTCAGAAAGGTAGCGACTTCCCTGGCACAAAGTAGAAGAGGAGATGAGAAAAATAGGCCTGTATTAGGTAGCATGTATTGATTTTTTTTGAAAAATTAATCTATAAAGAAACATTGCTTCTATTTGTTTTTCTTGTAAGCTGGCAAAATTTAAAACTTCTCAAAAATTTCTTCTGTTGAAATAAAATATCCTGATTCTGGCATAAAATGATGGTCAAGTAATAATCAAATTACAGAATTATCCAACCTTAAAATTAAAATAAAAGATAAACATACGTAAATAAATGAAATTAAAGATAAATAAATTTCCAAAAGTTTACTTATTTTCAATGATAACCAATATAGATAATATAAAGATAACTTTGATATAACAATGAAATGAGGCTGACAACACTAAAATATGAGAATTCATTTAATACATCCTATATTCAGAAGATAGATTGCTGAGGAAATGGAAAAATAATTGTTGTTTAAATGAAATTAAAGATGAGGTTTTGCATATGAAGGTGGACAAGGAAATCCAAAACAACGTAACATGCATCATAAAAGATTTTTTTAAAGGAGGCAATTATATAAAAAGAAATGTACTGGTTTGTGGGCTGGAATCTTGTGTTTAGAGAATGGACAAAATAGTAAAATTCAAGAAGGTAAGAAGGTTTTTTTATTGTAAAGATTTAGAAAAGGAATATACATAAGAAATATTGTTGTCAGAAAACTGGATAGAGCCACTTCAATTCGGCATACCAAATTGAGACCTGAGAGGGCCCGAAGACTTTAAAGGTGGAATCTAATGAAACAATTCAGAGGGGAGTCTCAGACATAGCAGATAATGGCGATAAAGCGATAAGGCACCTTGGATACTGGCTTCACTATCTATAGAATACACAGTAAATATCAACACTACTCACTGTGGTATTAGTCCATTGTTGTTGCTGCTGTGTTGATGTCAGCGTTACTAGTTTTTAAGTAAAAAAAGTAAACTTTTTCCACTTAAAAAAAGAGAAACTGTGGGAGACGATGTGTAACGTGGCAAATCAAATCTAGCGCATGCGCAGAACTAGGAATAAATTAAATTACATGATTGTCTAGATTTAAGATTGCAATGAAGAAAAGGCACTGTTAGATATATGAAATCATAGATAAATTCAGATATGTAAGTTCACATATTTGTACACATAAACAATATGGGTGATGTATAATTATCTGTCATATAACATTAAAGTGAGTGACAGATGTGAAAAATATGAACATTATTTTACACATATTCGAAAGATTGATTACTGAGAAAATGGATAAGTAAATTATGTTTAGATGAGATCAAGGATGATGATTTGTGTATGGAGGTTGGTAGGGAATTCTAAAACAAGGTAGCATGCATGACAAAGGACTTTCTAAAGGGAACAGTTCTATGAGAAGGAATTAACAGGTTTGACGGCTGGGATTTCATGTTGAACGAATGGACAGAGGAACAAGGAGTAAACAAATCGAGAATGTAAGAAGTTTTTTTTTTATTGTAAAGGTTTAGAAAAGTAATATATACAGGAAATGTCGTTGTCAGAAAACTGGATAGAGCCACTTCAATTCGGCATATCAACTGGAGATATGGGAGTGCCTGGGGACTCCAAAAATTAATCTAATGAAACAATTCATTAGTCTCTTTAATCTGATCTCAGACCCACCAGACAGTCCACCGTATATAAGGCAGCCATAATCGAAATGAGGGAAAATGAGTGAGGAAACTAGGAGCATAGGAAACAGATTTTAAGGGGCATGGAATCATGGAATCTTAGGAACTGTTTGACAGTAGCAATGGATTTTTGGATTATTTGAGAAATACGATTATTCCAGGACAGATTCTGATCAAACATTACCCCAAGGTTTCTAACTGAAGTGTGGAAATGGATAGATAGATCGTTGAGGTAGAGTAGGGAATAATAAGGACTGGAATTAATTAGATGCTTGGAACCAATGAGAATGGCTTTGGTCTTCTCAACATTCAACTTTAAATTGTTACCCTATGCCCAAGTATTGATACTATCAATGTCTTTTTTAAGCCTTTGGATTGCCTTAAGCCTCTTTGCAGCGTCTTTTCTCCTCATTAATTCTCTGATTTCTGGATTAATCCAGGGAGCAGGAGGGCGTTTGAAGGTTGAGATCTTTAAGGTTACATGTTGATTTAGGAATAGAAGAAGATTAGAGGAAAGACACCCCACCATTTCATTAATGGAGGAATATGAATAGATGGCATCTAAGGATTGGGCTAGTGTTTATACACTATTACAAGTACATTGATATATTGGCCTATAAATGATTTTGGACTGTACAACTATTAGTTATTAAACTCTTATTTTCCCATAAGAGTTTGTAAAGTTTACTAAAATAGAGTTACTAAATTTTCATTACCTACTATCGATAGGTCAAAAGTTGTCATTCTAATTGTAAATGGATAATGTTGAAATTTCATAGATGGAAAATATATAAAATTATTTACCAATTTAATTTTCTAAAATGTTACATGATAATTTTTCAAAATTAACTGATGTTAGGTATCTAATTATTTAAACATATTATAATATATTTAAGAGAATCTTATAATGATCAGATCTAGAGTTATTAAACTACATTAAATGTATTTAAGGTTATAAACATATGTTTTACAAATCCATGAAATATTTTTGTTTTTCTTCTTCTTTCACACAAGTACAATGAAATAGTTTTTTAAACAATGTTATTACCTTGATTCGGTGGATTTTATATACTTTTTTACAAACTTAAAAAAAATTTTAAAGTTTACATTTAGTTAGGAAATTACATTTCATTTCTTTGGAAAAATGTGGTATTGGTTAAATAATATTAGTTTTCATAAATTATTATTTATAATGAAAGGAGATGGTCTGGGGTGGCGGTCATAAATAGACTAAATAATGGCAAAACTATTTTATTAAAAGCCAACGTTTCGACCCAACTTTGCAGGTCTTCTTCAGAGAGTTGTGTTCAGCAAGGAGTTTCACTTAGGCTAAGTTAAACCTCCCTGAAGAAGAACTGCAAAGTTGAGACATTAAGAAACATTAGGTTTTAATTAGTAGTTTAGCCATTATTTAGTATATTTATGACCGCCACCTCGGGCCATCTCCTTCCTTAATAATACAACGATCAACTATTAAGTATTCAGTATTATTTATAATTTTTCCGTTACTCACTATTATCTTTTACGACTTTATATGTTATGTTAGATATTGTTTTTTTTTTCTAAAATTCTCAGCTTTTCAACAATATATCATACGCATAACATCTGACGATTATTTCTGGAAATTCATTTTCGACCTAAAAAAACATTTTTACTTTTTTCTCTTTAAATCAAATATTAAATTCTTTTATGGTTTATATTGGAACTTTTTTTGTTACTACTAACAATGAGAGACAGTTAATTATTTAAAATAAACCAAATTAAAGGTAGTTCAGAGGAAGAAATTTTAAAAATTTGGGATTTAAACCTTGTTAAGCCACATCAATGAGGATAAGAACTAAATGATATTATATGCCATTTAAATATATATTGATACGTCCAGTTTAATCAAAATTGTTTTGCCTGTTTTTGAGAAAATTTTAAAAATGTGGAAAATTTATGGTATAAAGTGGCACTTCTGGTAAGCCGATTTAAAAGAAAATGTTGCTGTAACATCCCAGGCATATACTTAATTTAACTCTTTATTTTCAGTTTTATACTAGTTTTCATTTTTGAGGTAGGCTGATCACACTCACAAAAACACACACCACGGTGGGAGTCGGAAACCCATATGGATAGGGAAATGCTCACTAGAAATAGAGGGACCCCAGAATAATAAACCAAACATGGGGAATCATGTAAAACTTACAAACCTTACGGTGCAGGGGGTCAGATCACCAGTGTCTGGGAATGCGGGAACTGAGTCTCAGGTGTCGCTGGATAGCAACATCAATGTTGCAGTAGTGGATCACTTTACCACTGTAGTTATTAATACTTTGAGTGAGCAAAGGAGAAGACAATCGTGGGAATCATTTGGGGACAAAATTTCTACTTCATGGATTGATCATGAAGAATACCAATAACTAGACCAAAGCAGAAGTGATTTCAATCCATATGCTTTACGATCAATTGACAAGAATAGATGAAAACCCAGAACGGTTACTAGCTGGAAACAGTTTTGGAACTCAGCCAAGACGAGTTTGGGACCCCTCCTAGAGAGAGTCTCGAGTAATAGCATCAGGTACTCAAGGGGAGACGGAGGAGGAGGGAAAGACACTTAATGGTCTGGAGGAAACACAGATTTTGGCTATAGCTGAAAGTAATGCAAGAAATGAGCCTGGTGATCAATGGAAAATGGTGAAAACCAAGGAGAAAAGGAAAAAAGAAAGCTGAAGAGCTGAAATAAAACTCTGTCTTGATGGGGTAGGGTATAGTTAGAGAGTGAAACTTGCGAGGATAGGATTGTTGGTTTCAGCCAGATTTCAGAGACAGGAATTAGGTAGTAGAAGTTGTGGAGGAAGAAATCATGGACTTCATCAATGTGGGCTAAAAACCTCTCCACACATATAAATGACTGCTATATAATTATCCAAATGAACATGATAAAACTCCTCTTCATAGTCCATAGTTGTATCCTGTCGAACATTTATGGACTTATGCTGATTCATAGCTCGGAAATCAAAATACAACATCAATAAAGTATCGGATAACTAAATTATTTGAAGAATGGGGGAAAATATCCTCCTAATTGATTTCAAAGTTGATCCGATCAATGCTTATAGGAAGGACTGCATTCAAAGTATTAATTTTAAAATTTTGAGTAAAATAAATAAAGGAATTACTGTATAATACAGCTATGTACAAAAACTTTTGCTACATTGAAATTACCATTTTATACTTTAATCTGTAATTAAAATATAATTATTTCTTGGTATGCAAATATTTTTGAGATTATTAATAAGAGTGGAATTGAAGTTATACGTAAGAATTTAATTATAAAAAATATGTAGGAAAAATTGTTTTTATTGATGTTTTTATTTTTTATCAGTCCGTGTATGAAAACTTTTGCTGTCCACTGTATGTATTGTATGAATGAACACTTGTCACACTAAATATACATATAACATAATATATAGGTATGAATGTATTTAAGAAAAATTATTTAGTTTTTATTCAACTTCAATTGTTTCTATATGTAGCCTACTTATTTTGATATAAAAATTTATTTATCTATATAATTTTTTTTCTGAGATACATATACTATTTTTGTTTTATCTTATTATTATTTGTATATATCTTCTTATTAATCTTATTCCTTATTGTTATTATTTTCAAAATTATTTATTTTTATTTCTCTTTACTAAGCATATATTGTTAAATGAATGCCAGTAGCTCTAATACTTGTTGCTCATCAATGTAGCAGAAAAGATTATTATTCGACATAATATGGGGAAAAGATAAAAAGGAAAACATAAGAAAATGAAGTGTGTAAATGAAAAATTTATTGTTCCTGATGTCGAGGCCAAAATTCTTTTAATTTATAATCAAGTTTTTATTTAGTGGTTCTGTTATTTTTTTCTTAAGTAAAGCTATTTTGTTTTATTTTTCAAGGACTCAAATACATTTTGCCACCAACACTCAAGCTGAATGAATTGTATCTAGAAACAGTTGCAACAGAGCCTATTCTCATAATATCATCACCAGGAAACGATCCTTCAAAAGATATATTTTCTCTTGCTTCTGTAAATGGGAATATTAAGCTCCATGAGGTATTTTTAAAATCCTATCTTGTTATTTTAAGCACTATGTAATTATTGTGTGTATAAGAAATAGAATAAGAAATGAAAACAAAACAGGAATTCGATAAGTGGTAACTGAAGGGACCAATGCTATCAAGCCTGTCAGCATTATTTTTAACCCAATGGGGAACAGTGTTCAGATGCTATCAAGAATAAGGAAACTGTAAGAGGTGGGAACCAGAAACTATATCTTGCAAACACAATCTGAGGGAAACTACCTCTCAGATTTCAGATTAAAAATATGAATGTGACAGAATTCTACAGATTAAGAACTCAAAATATCATCCGTATAATAGGCAGAAATGAGTAAAATATTTCTTTAATCTGCAGTTTTTATGTAAAATTCAAAGTACACCAGTTTTTTTGAACACCAGTTTATATAGGTGTATATATACCTATATAAACTATCATATATACATACTCACACACACACACACATATATATATATATATATATATATATATATATATATATATATATATATATATATACCTATATAAACTGGTGGTCAAAACAACTGGTGTACCTTGAATTTTTATATAAAAACTGCAGATTAAAGAAATATTTTAAACATTATATTTAAATATTATATTATTATTATTATATATATATATATATATATATATATATATTTACAACTTTTCTTTAATCGACCTTTGAGTATTAAATTTAAACATAACCATTTAATTGGGAATAAGGTCACTTATTAATTATTTAATAAACTACTAAATGTTCATTTCCTCTGTGTTTATTGACGTTTCGATCCCGGTATTTTCTTTTTATAAGTTAACAATGGGATCCTCTTCAAAGCTAGAACAACAAATAGCTCAATCGGTACACAATAATGCTTCCATATGTTTTTAATAACAATTATTTCAAAATTTTAACCTACTTTTAAAAATAGAGCTTCGATCAGCCAGGACACACGACAGCTCAGCACCGTCCACAGCACATATATTAAGCTACTGGACCACTCGCTGGTCCTGAGCCCGAAGACAAATTATTACATACTAAACAATGAAAATTGCATCTATTTTATATAAAGCAATTGAAAAATGTATCTATGATAAATATAATAGCATCAAGAAAATATATCTATGAACAACAAAAACAGCTTGTATAACATCTCTTGGTTATAAATTAACTTATCCAAACCAATTAACATTAAATACATACTTATACACACATACCCACACATTCATACACACACATATATATATCTTGGGCATATATATATAACTTTAAAATTGTTAATAATATAAATAAATATCAAACACTTTAAAATTACTAAAAACATAAATAAATATCATCTACTTAAAATATATGTACATTAGTCATCTTTTTTTTTTTTTTTTGTTTATTTAATGGAATTTACAACTGTATATAAATACAACAAGTAAATATGCGCAAATATAAATAATGGCATGTACAGGCTTGAAGATTTACTACCCAGTGGTAGCACTCTCTAAATAATTTTAAGTAAGAAGATCACGAGGCCATCTCCTTTTCAGACGCCTAGGAGGATTATCAGGAATCGAGAAAGAAGCAAGAGTGGAAACAAGCGGATTTGGATGGGACTGAAGTTTATCATGAAAGGATAGATATCTGGCTCGAGCTAAATCAGCGACATATGGTACATTAAGGTCTTTATGAATGGTTTTATTTGTGACAAAGTATGGAGCATTAAGGATTTTACGGAGGATTTTGGATTGTAAGGATTGGATACGATAGGAATTCGATGGTTTGGTGGAGCCCCAAAGCTCAACTCCGTATGTCCATATAGGTCTTATTATAGTTATGTAGATAAGTCTTTTGTAATTAATAGAAAGTTTGGAGCGTTTGTCTAGTAAGTGTTGGAGCAGTCGGAAACGTCGAGCAGTTTCTTGTCGTTTCAGTCTAGTATGAGGATTCCAAGTAAGACGTTTATCCAAATGGAGTCCTAAGTAGCGGATTTGCTCAACAGGAATAAGTGGAGTATTATTGAAAGTTACTGTAGGACAAGACGTCATAGGTTTACGACGGAGGGTAAAGGTGATTTGATGGGATTTGTTGGAATTTATTTTTATTCTCCAATTTTTACACCATTCTTCAAGGCTTGTGATATGTGATTGAAGAGTTTGGGATGCAATTAAAGGATCGTTATTAACAGATAGCAAACATGTGTCATCGGCGTAAGTGGTGATGACAGTGTCAGGATGGGTTGGGATGTCAGCTGTATAAACTGTGTAGAGGATGGGACCGAGGATACTACCTTGTGGAACGCCTGCAGATTGAGCAAAGAGGGATGAGAAGACATTATTTTGGTTTACTTTGAAGTATCTATCAGTAAGATAGGAGCGGATAATGAGGAAGTATGTAGGGGGTAGGACTTTTCGGAGTTTGTACAGAAGACCCGGGTACCAGACTCGATCAAACGCCTGTTCAACGTCGAGAAAGACTCCCGTGCAGTACATACCGCGCTCCAATGCAGAGGAGACTACATCAACCACACGGTGACATTGTTGGATAGTGGAATGCGATGTGCGGAATCCAAATTGGTGATCAGGGATAATATGATTAGAGTCTAGGATGGGATACAGGCGTTTTAGGATGAGTTTTTCCAGGATTTTGCCCATGATAGGTAACAGAGAAATAGGACGGTAAGAGGATGGGTGTTCGGGTGGTTTTTTAGGTTTGTGTAATATTTTGACAATAGATATTTTCCAAGAATCAGGGAAATATGTGGATCGGAGCACAGCATTGTATATGTAAGTGAGGAATAGGATGGCTTTCCGAGGAAGAAGTTTTAGGATCTGGGAAGTGATAAGGTCGTGTCCAGGAGCTTTTCGGGAAGGTAATTTGTTGATGATATTAGATATTTCTGAAGGATGAAATGCTTTAGGTGGAAGAGTCATTTGGAGTGGAATATCCAGTTCTGCTTCAATACATTCAATTTGATGTGGATTAAAGGTTTGGAAGAGGTATTGACCGAATAATTGAGATTTTTCTTCATCGGATTTGGACCAGGTTTGGGATTCAGTTAATAGTGGATGGTTAAAGTCTTTAAACTTTAGTATCTTTTTTGTGGTCGTCCATAGAGATTTGTCAGTAGTTGTAAGATTATCAGTTAGGTTAAGTAATTTTTGTGTTTTGAATTTTCTAATTTCTATTTTTAGTTTGTTAGTCAATTCGTTATAGTAAGTTTTAGGTACTTTTCGTCTAAGGGGCCGCTACTGACTGCTATCTGCCAATGTTTATAACCTGAACACTGATAACTCCCATAAAGCACTGATAAGCCTTTTTTTACTTCATATCTTCGTATTATTGTATTAAATTCGTATTATTGAAAGTGTAAACAGATACAAAAACAAATTTAATAACAAAAAAAATACTTTTATTTGACGACACATGTATTAATGAAATAATAAAAAAAACACTTTAAGAAGATATGTACATATAAAACATCAAAATGAAATAATAAAAAACACATTTAAAAGAACATATTTACATAGAAAAGAAAAAATATAAAACGAAATCGGTTTTATAAAAAGATAAAACATTCATCTGTTTCTCGACAAACTCCACCAAACATCCACTGCTGAGATAAAACTCTCCCCACATGATTTTTTCGTTTAGAAAAAAGACTTTCTTTTACTTCAACCACTTTGCCAGGTCCTCCAATTTTTTTTCTTGGCCTGTATAACATGTCATGGGCACAAACCTCTCTTAGACATTTGTTCCACGTTACCATAGCTCTGTTGAATAGTTTCAGCTGCTCTTTGGCCCACTTCATCGTTGTCAAGCTATGGGACCATCCATAAATCAATTTTAAAGCTGTTAAAAACGAAATCCTCGAGCCCTCCAACCATGTTCCTTTCCTTATTGAAAGTTTTGTGTCATAAGTCCTACGAAAGCATCTCCATTTGGCCTTCCTGGTTGACTTCATTCGATGACCTCGATCACACGTCGATTCAAGTCGGCAAGTACCCCAACATTTTAAAAATATTGAAGTGCCTGTTCTTCTGAAGGCGTCAAATTCCATATTCTAAGAAGATCCATAATATGACGAAAAGAAACACAAAGGAGCCACAAACTAAAAAAAAAGTAAAATAAACACAAACGGGCCAAAAACTAAAAATAATGAAAAATAAACACAAACGGACCAAAAGTAAACAATTTAATAAGTGAACGTAATAAGGGAATAACTGAAAACTAAACAATGCAATAACTGAAAGGGGATAAGAAGAGGGAGGTTATGTGACGTGACGTTTGATAAGATAGATAAGAGGTGAGGTTTCAGTCCGGCCTGCTAGACTAAAAGTACCAAGTTTTATCTGAAGGATATCTAGTCCTATGCCATTTCGATCTTGCTCTGCGTTTTTCTCTTAATAAGATTCGAATATTTAATGGCAAGTTACTATATCGTGAGTTATTGCTTTTATTGATGGAAGTGTTATCATTTATACTAATAGCTATTGATGTAGTGAGTTTTTCTATGGATTTGTCAATGTCTTGTTTTGTCTTGTCAATGTCTTGTCTTGTATTTTCCAAATCGTGACGAAACTTGTCCCAGTCTACTCGTCCTGTAATCAATTTCGGATGTGAGGGTTTAGGAACGAGATTTGAATGTAATAATAGCAGAACTGGACTATGATCTGATGAAAGGTCATCCAGGGATTTTATTGTGGTCAGGGAAGAGGAAATCTGAGAAGTGATAAATATATCTAGGATATCAGGACGTTTTTTAAGGGATGTTGGCCAATATGTTGGATTCATGGGCGAGAGGATAGAATAACTATTAGAAGATGAGACATGAGATAGGATATTACCACGGGAATTGGATGTTCGACAACCCCATCGTTGGTGTTTAGCATTGTAGTCTCCTCCAGCAATAAAGCGTGATCCGAGTGATTGGAATAAGGAATCAAGAAGGCCATGAGAAAGGGAATTTCCAGGAGGACAGTATACAGCTGATAATGTAAGATGGAAA